TATATATATATATATATATATATATATATATATATATATATATATATATATATATATATATATATATATATTTGAGGGCTTGTTTGTTTCAATAATTTTTCTTGAAAAACTCTTTCTTTTTTAAGAAACAATAGCTTTCAGAAGTTTTAATCTATTTATTGAAGTTTTTAAGGTTAGAATTTAAAATAAAATCCAAAAATTATTATAACAGTTAAATGCAAAAAAATAAATTCATTTAGTTTATTTAAACTATTATTGTTATAAGTTTTATGAGATTGTTTAAATTTTTTTTATGAAAATAGTATATAGAATATATTTATAAATTATTTTCAGCTTATTTTCACACATCAATTAATAAATCTTTGACACGAATTTGTAATTTAAAAATATAAGTTATGGATTAACATATATCATACTAAACACTTTTGTTTTTAACTATAAATAAATTATTTTAAATTTTACTTATAATCTCTAAACAATTATCTTTCTCTTACAAATGTCAAAATCACTTTTTGAAAATATTCTTTAACAATCAAAAGCCTAAACTATCCTATTTTGTATCATTTTTTTCATACCATTAGGCTCCAAACATAGAAATGTTAATTATGTATATTTAACTCCAATTTTATACTTATTTTTCATGCTATTAGGTTCCAAAACCAAACATAGAAATTTTAATTAATTAATTAATTAATTAAAGTTACTTAAGTGTGTGTGTTGCTTCTAGCTTAAACTTTATTTTCACGTGAATAACGTCAAGAAAGACAATGGGCCATCCCTGAAAGGTGCCTCCATTTATAACTTGTCAATGTGTGATGCAACATTTTGAGTAAAATATTAATACAGATAATATTTTAAAGAGTGAGACACTTTACAATTTACATAGACTTTTTCATCAACCAATCAAATATCAACAACAAATAATATTCTACAACGGACAAAATTTTCATCAAGAAAACAAAAGCATGGCAAGTTTTTATTTATATAAGTTTAGTAAAATAATGAATAAAATATTCTTGCTAATTGCATATACAATCTTCAAAAAAGTTTGCAACATGACCCTCTTTAAAGTAAAATCTAATTTTTATTCATGAAGGTTTTTCTTTAATTTCATTTTCTTTTGTTAATTTATAAGTACTTTTTATTTTCTTTTAAAAACTTAGAGTTGAGTTTTGAAGCTCTTCAAAAGAAAATTTATAAATTAAAGAATTCAGATATTCAGAGATGCTAAAAAAATTTATATTGTTTGAGAATCGAAGTTAGCAATAATTTATATATTACATTTACACACTTAAATTCAACGAAGTTAACAATCATTTTTATATTACATTCACACACTTAAATTCAATGAAATGTTTTTTTAAAGAATAAAATTGTAAAAAATTTATACACTAAAAACGAACAATATCTCATAAATATAATACTAATCAACAGCAGATTTGTGCTCGGTTGAAACCTAACCCGTATAATCGAGATTCAAACCCTTTAATTCAATAGTCTCGATTGAGATCAAATATTTCCATTCATTAAAAATCTCACATTTACCTAATAATTGAGGTTAAGGGTCAATAATTTCGAGATCAATCGAAATAGCGGACATAAAAAAAATTATCATTTACGAGTCAATTATATCGGCAACAAAACTCGAACTCAAACCCTTATAAATGTTAACTAAATTATCATGAAGTGGATTAAAGAAGAAAGCAATGGATGTATAATGCACGAATGAAAACTTGAAATATTAAAATGGTTAATGAAGAAGAAGGTGTCAACATCCACAATGAGCTAAGAAGGGCTAAAAAGTCTTGAAAAAAACCAATTTCTTCTAGTGAAGCACACCAAGAAACATTGACTTATGTAAGAGTGTTGATAATTCACCATTTTTGGTTTTCAACATTAGGTTTGTTCACAAGAGAACAGTTACTTACTTAGATAAGTTCAATTAAATTCGTGGGGTATAATTAATTATTATATTCAATTTTTTATGCGACAAGTATAAAGCAACTATCACGGCTTTCAATGGATGTCACTTCTGTTTATCTATTAAAGCAACATTTTAAATGTGAATTGGCACCAATTTGATGTGACTTGAAAGTTACTTAGCTTCTTCTATCTGATTTATCACTAATCCCTTGTTAATTAAATATTTAAGCAAAATAGTAATGTTAATGATTAAATATAGTTTGCATTGATAAAGCTCATGAAATTTAGCTTGAAGTTAGGAAGACTTTTGAACATGGTGCTAATGTGTACAAGATCAGTACTGTGGCTATGGTAGATTTTGTTGATTAATTATATAATCAATTTCAATTTCTTTTCTTAATTTTTCATTTCCTTTAAAAGAATATCATTAAAATCGTCTAATATAATTGTGGGAATAAGTTTGGTTAGACAACTATTATTGAGTTTTGTTGGTAATAAAATAAAAAAGAACAATTTGGTTTTCTAATAGCTTGTTAAGTATGCAGACTCCTAGGATCCTTAAAATGAAGCAAATATAGATCTGATCAAATTTAGATGTTGAACAATACTGATGTAATCGGATTCTGAACTCTAGTCTTAGAGAGACTTTAAAAATAAAGACTTTGGGCTCTGATAAAAGAGATTCTAAACTTTAGATATCATAAGCATTTGAATCCAAGTGATCACTAAAAAATGTTTTGAAGATTAAGTCAACTCTGATTGTAACTAGTTAACACTTTTAAAATAGACGTCTCTGAAACACTCTAAGTGTTCAAGCTTCATTTACTCATTAGATTTCAATGTCTATTCTCAAGATTCTGAACTCTAAACACGTGCTATAAATCTCGTATGCAAAAACAATGTTTAAGAGTATTATATTGAGTAAATAGTAATTATATATTGTGTCTGTGAAACGTTAAATCAATAGTATTATACTTCAAACAAATTATATAATATTTTCTATCTACTATCCAAGATTTACAACTGAACCTACCTACTCTACAACAATAGGATACCTTGAAGAAAGCTTAAAACCTTTCCTACAACAGATTTATTTCTTCATATTTAAAGAGGTCAAAGGACTTGAATTAAAAAACATATATGCATGATGTATAATTAAAAGCAAACGATTGTGCTAACTTTTATGAAGAAGAAAATTCATCAAAGAAAATCATCGTTAAGAAAGAAGAAGATTGTAAAAAACACCTTGAGTTTTTTTCTAAATATTCTCAAATGTTCTAACTGAATTTCAGTGTGTAATCTACTTGATAAGAAGCATTCTTGCAAACATAATCATTTTAATTAACCTCTGTTAATTTCTTTGAGATACTGAGTTTAGTTAGAATTCTCAAGTCATTGACCATTAATCTTTGAGTTATTTTCCTTGAGAGACATATACTCAAAAGTTCTCAATAAGTCTTAGATTGTGTGTGTCTATGAGTTTGTTGTAATCAGATTGATTATTTGATTAAGTCTTTATTGAAAAAGCGAAATCACTTAGACAAGTGGACTGCATGTAGCTTCGTTAATATTGAACCAAGATAAAAAATACTTGTGTTCTTATCTTTATCATTATCTTTCCTGCTTGATAAATTGGGTTCCAAAAGTTTTTAAATCAAAAAACTCACATCTTTCTTGTGTTTCTTGCACCTTCAATAATCTTTATTGCAAACAATGTGGTAAAGTCACACACCAACTCTAATGCATTATCGTTATGAAGACTATTGCATCAATAATATTACAATTTTGATTGTCTAATTAGATCAATTTAGTTGATAGTTGTGTAGAGACATCCGATACAGATGTACAAATTCGAATCCACAACATCTCACTTATTCATCTTTAAAAAATAAATTCTAACCATTAAACTATATTACGCTCTTAATTTCCATAAGTATCATAATTTGGTAAACGAATTCTTTTTTACACAATCACATCATCACGATATTTATGGTCGTTTGATTTTAATTTAACCGTGTAAACATAAATAGATTTAAAATTTATATAATAATTTAAAAAATATCTTTAATCACACCGTTCAAACTTGATCTGACGATTCACAACACATAACTAAGCGAAATCAAGAAAATTTTGACATAATTTGAAACAACGGTTAAGGTAAAAAAAAAAAACTAAAAACTACTTAAATGACTTAATTTCAAATGGATATATCACCTAATCAAATTGATTGAAATAGTATATTCTCAAACGTTTACCCATTAGACACTCAAATTCAAAGTCATGGCCTAAGAAGAAGGACAAATGAATAATGATAAAAAAAGTGTGTGTTCCAAAAAAAGAGTAAAAACAATGGTTTGATTTATACGAATCCACACAGTGTAACACAGTTTTCATATCCGACACCCTGACGGTAAGTGCACGTTTGGATTTTTATCTGTCACTACTGAAACTCATTTTGATTTTAACATTTTCTCTCACCTTTATTTTTTCTTCTAATATAATCAACTCTTGTCACCTTCATATCTGATTTCAGATTTGTAATTTTTGTCTTCTAACTATATTTTAATCATAGGTTGAGTTTCACATGGATTTTACTTTTTTTACTAGTGTGAAAATCCTTTAATGGATAATCTCTTAATACTCTCATAATTCTTTCTGGGCTGTAAAATATAAAATAAAAATCTCATTATATTTATTATATAATTTCTATTATTTTAATATAATACATTTTAAAAATATTATATTATATTTATGTAACAAATTTAGATACCTATAAAACATTTTTTTTTATATAATTTCTATTATTTTAATATAATTTCTATTATTTTAATATAAATAAATAATAGTACAATACCTATAAAACATTTTTTTTTTAATCCACAAAATCCTTAATAATTATTGTGGCACATTACTTTTTAAAAACAAAATTTTCTAACTTGGCTATGGGAAATAGATGTATGAACATTGTTCCATTTGTTAATATCACAATGTGTAACCCTTTCAATTTTATTCATTACTAGAATACAGTGATAACCATTTTTATTTCTTCTAGTACAGAGTTACATCTTTGATCAAACTTAAATTGAGTAAGGCCAGAAACAAAAGGTTTGATCTTCAACCGGAAACCCGAAATTACAAGAATTTTCACGAGGGTCGTTGTAACATACATCTTCGATCTTTGGAAGAGTCAAAAGATTATCGCTCAAATCATCATTATCTTCTTCGTCTTGTGAGAAATCGGAGTGATCAGGTTCGAAAACATGTGACGATTCTGTAGTAGGCTCCATGAATGAAGAAAGATTGTTAACATCATTGCAATGTGGGCTATCAGAATCAAGCAAATCACTTTTAGCTGAATTAGCATCTTCTTGTTTACATCTTAGTACCATATTTGGGAATGACACTTTGGACCCATTTTCTGAATTTTCATTTGAGGTTAAGTCCATAGTCTCTTTGTTGATAGCTTCTTCTGAATTCTCTTTATCTATTGGATTCACTTTTCTCTTCAAAGAATTCACCTATTGAAAAAAATAATAGAAAATTAACCATTCATTCAATCATTAACTCATTAGTGGGATAAATATCAAACTTTATTAAAGTAAATTGCTGATCATAGCAGCATAAAGTAAAAAAAGTTGAATTAATATGTTTTTGAAAGATTTTGATTGTGCTTTTGTGCCCAATCACTCTTATGTGACTGCACGCAATAAACCAGCCAAATCAATAATTGTTTGATTAAGATCAAACAATTCATATGATATGATGAGTTGTCTGCGTGCAGTCACATGCATAAATTGTGACGAAACACAATCATGTTACTACACGCAGAAAGCCAATTGTCGTTTGACATGGTTGTCTGCGTGCCTGCAGATGAAACACAATTTAATAATATCATTAGTGTATGTGTAAATTTTTTGTAGTTTTTTTACCTCTTGTTTTAACTTGTCATTCTCTTGAACAAGATTATCATAATCATCTTTGAGTCTATCAAAGCTAGCTTTCAATGTGCCATAATCTTTTTCAAGCTGCTTAGTTTTGAACCTGGCTCTTCTATTTTGAAACCATATAGCAACTTGTCTTGGTTGCAACCCAAGATCTTTAGCAAGTTGCACTTTCCTATCAGGTTCAAGCTTGTTTTCAACCTCAAAACTTCTTTCAAGAAACTGAACTTGTTCACTTGAGAGTCTCCTTTTCTTTCCTTGTTGATGAAAACATGCTTCATAATCTTCATCACCACAATTCTCTTCTTTCTCAAGTTGTTGAAAGAAGGGTATGTCTGTTACCACCCTGCTTCCAATTCCAACATTCTCAAAATCAACTATTGTCTTTGAACCTGAATTTTCAACACCAAATACAAACTTGTTATAACTCAATTATATAAACAATTCCTACTAAAGAGTAGTAGAAAAATGATTAAAAATTACTACTTTTTTTTTATAGTTCTTCATTGAAAATTTCTATAGGCTTATTTTTCTTTTAAAAAAAAAACTATTTTTTTGTGGTTTCTTCACAATGAAAAAAGAAACCCACTTTCATGATTTCTAGAAACATGATTTTCTATACTCCAAGGTTTTAAAAAACGGCCGCAACAATATCGAAAAGTGCCGATACTGATACCGTAATTCATTGTTGTTAATTCACACCGCGATGACAGCAACTCAGATGAAATTTTATGACTTGATGCATGATTCAATTATGTAGAAAGAGAAGTGAGGAGGTAAAGATCACCTTGAAAAGAGGCAGGGTTAGAGGTATGAACCCAAAGAGATTCAAGGACTTGATGGTTCGAAGAAGGGAGTGTTTCATTTTGGAGCAAAAGTGACATGTTAGAGGCACCAAAAAGCTTGGCACCTGCCATAAGAAGAGGCTAAAGAGGAAAAAAACTTTTTGAAAGGATTGTAAGAGTGGAGCCTTAGAAGGGAGTTTTAGATAAAAGGGTCACAATCAAACATGCTCTATAAGAAGTAAGAAAGAAAAAAAGAGTTGAATTTGAAGGGTTGATTTTGATTTAGAATTTATGACGAAAGAAGCAGGTGGTGAGGATTGCTATAATGTGAGAATTGTGGGAGTGAGGAGAGATCATAGTGATTAGTAGTGGGAGAAAAATTAAAGAGGGGTGTCAGAGGTGAATAAATTGGAGGGCAGAGAAGGTTGAGTGTAGATGTGTGAGTTTTCAAGGAAGGGCAGAGGGGCAGAGAGAGAGAGAGAGAGAGAGAGAGAGAGAGAGAGAGGAGATGGAAATACTTGTTTTGGGAGAGAGTGAGAGAGAGATTCTTTCTTATGTGGTGGGGAACTTTGATGTGGTTATATTGGGAGAGTTGGTTTGATTTTGGGATAGGAGAAGCCTAGATAAATGTGTTGCAAGTTACTATATTGCCCTTAATCTCTATAGTATTAGTTTTTCTTTTCATCACCAATATTTAGTCTATTAGATCGATTAATTTGATTCGGAATTAATTATAGGATAAAGTAATTTTAACCTTCTTCAATTGTAGTTGTGTTGAAATGTTGTACTTTTTTACTAAGTTCACCATCATTTACCACTAAATCAGTTGAGGATTGATATATATATATATATATATATATATATATATATATATATATATATATATATATATATATATATATATATATATATATATATATTGATGTTAAAATAGTTTTATATGATATGAAAATATGTTTTTCTAAAAGATGTAATGGTTTGAATTGGTTTTATAAAATAGTTTTGATTTAAAATATTTTAATTGATAAAAAATATATCAGTTTAGTTTGGTTTAATTTTTAATGTAATTCTATTTTTAAATAACACTAAAAATTAAACCAACTAAACCGATATAACTTTCATTAATTTTATTTGAATAATTTTTTTCTTTTCAAATATTATATTTATTACTTTACATTTTTATTTAATTCTGTTTTTTAAAACTATTTTTAAAATCAAAAATATTTCATGGTCTCTTCTTTTTTTTAAAATAATTTTTAATTTAATTCAATTAATATAATATATTTAAAATTAAATAGATCCACACAATACATCCAAAAAAGATAATTTACTATTAAATATGAATAAATATATATTGTATATTCAAAATGATGACAATTCACCATCAAATACAAATACAATCAGTATAAAATTAAGTTAACAATTAAATTATAAAAAATATAACTAAAATAAAATTCTTTTTTTTATTTAAACTTTAAACACAAATATGTAAAGATTGTTAGGTTAACAAATATCAAAATAAAATGATATTAAGAGAGATTGAATAAGAAGGAAAAAAAAGAGATGGAAAGAAATAAAAACTAGTTAAAAAATGTGAAAAACGACTGCGGCGACTATAACAGAGGTTAATAGAATATCGTTGGTGAATATGTTAGCATAATTTTCAACAAATATATATCACTTTATAAAAAATGTAATTATTCAAAAATCTCTAAATTGGAAATAAGTGATAATTATCTCTGGCCCTACCTCGATGTATATATATCCCTTCTGGTTTTAATGTGAACTTCATGTCTTTCACCATTATATATGTTACATTATTATTGTCATTCATTGCCTTTTCCTTCTCTGTTTGAGTTTTAAGTGTGCGATTCATATCCAACCCTTCTTATGACTCGAGGGTGAGTTAGTTCTCTAACTCAAAGCTAAGGAGACCTTGTCATACAATGTGGAAATCTATCACATATTACTTGGGGACGACTTCACCTCGCCTATGTTAATTTAAGAATCTTAAAAGCCTCAGAGTTGTGAAAGAGAGAAAGTGCAAAAGCTCGACAGACCGTGTCTTTCTGAGTGAACAAAGTTTTATAAAAGTAAGGAAGTAACTCCTAAGTACTAAGGCAACTCACACACACACATAAAAGTCTTTTAAACCACTTTTATCTCTTAAAAATATTTTTAAGGTCGAGCCAAGTGACTAAAAAACTGTCTACTTTATTTTAAAAGGCTTTTTTGAACTACCCTATTGATTGGAAATATTTTTTAGACTGGACAGTTGATTGGGGCATTAAGCCAATCGATTGGAGAATACCTAAATAATTAACGAAACGATTATGACAATATCTTAATGACTTTATAATGAATTTGTATCCAATCTTTCCAAATTGGATAAAGGTTATCAATTAAATTTGGTCATCCAATTGATTAGAACAAGAAGCCAATCGATGAGGGATTTAGTTTCCCTCATGGATTTTTCCTTTTTTGGATGTTCCTTATCCTATATAAAGGAGGGTCGCCTCCTCTTCAGTTCACACCATTTTTCAAAGCTTTATATTTTCCTTGGAATATATATATATATATATATATATATATATATATATATATATATATATATATATATATATATATATATATATATATATATATATATATATATATATATATATATATATATATATATATATATATATATATATATATATATATATATATATATATATATATATATATATATATATATATATATATATATATATATATATTCTCTTTCTCTCTCTAGAAATAATTTTTCTGTCACTTAAGTTGCCTCATTGCTTTTGAGTGAAACATTACTTATGAGTAAGAAATTGTATCGGTCGCGTTGTTGTTTCAATTCTCATGAGTGCAATACTCTTGGGAAATTGAGTTTGATTTGTGAGATAAATCAGTCATAAAATCTCTATTTTGATTTCTGAAACTTGGCCGAAAAAAGTTTTATTATGGTTATTTTGATAAGCATATGTTGTGAAAAATGATACCTTGAAAAAAAGTATAAACAATTTCTTTATGATCAAGAAACACACAAGGGTCAGGGTTAACGAAAAAACAAGAAGAACAACAACAACGATTGGTTATAACTGCTATTCTTTACTTTCTCTTTAAACAGATTATAAGTACTCAAGAATAACAAATAACCCTCTCACCCTAATTAGGATTTGCCCCACACTTAAGGTGTGAGATTAGTATGCTATTTATAATAAACCTAACATACTAAACTAATAGGCTTTTTAATAGTTACTCATTACAAGCTAACTTAAACAATTGGATCCTTAACACAAAGCCTAATTCAACAACTACATACAAAAACATATTTCGACTACAGCATGTAGGTCTTCGACAATAACATGTAAGCAGACTTCGACGACATGCTAAACCTCTGTCGACAATACTAGAGTTTGATCCAATATCTCACAAATCTCCACCTTGAAACAAACTTTATAAAATCAAGAAACAAACTATTTTTCTTCATGCAGCTTTATCAACTGCATAAAATGGAAAAACTTGAAACTGGGCAACGACTTGGTGATCATATCAACATCATTATGATCTGTCGAAACCTTCATCACTTGGACTTCTCCACGCTCGATCACCCATCTGGCTAAATGCAGTCTCACATCAATGTGCTTGATTCGCTCATGATAGATTGAATTCTTCGACAGGTGTATTGCACATTGACTATCACATTTAAGCCATAATGCTTAATGCTTCATCTCCTTTTCAAAACCTTCAAGCCATAATGCTTCTTTCACAGCTTCAGTTAGGGAGATATATTATGTTTCACTGGTTGATAAGGCAACAACCTTATAAAGTGTTTCTTTCCAACTGATTGTTGTGCCAAATATAGTGAATACATATCTAGAAAAAGATTTTATGGAATCCATACAACCTGCATAATCAGAGTCGACATATCCTTCGATTGCTGCTTTACTATCTTCACTCAAGGCTCCACCATAAATTAGGACTCAGTTCAGAGACTCATTTATGCACCTTAGAATCCACTTCAATTCTTGCCAGTGAGCCTTTCCAGGATTTGCCATGTACTTTCTTACAAGACTTGTTGCATATGATATACCAGGTCTAGTATAGACCATAACATACATCAGAGAATTCGCTATATTAGCAAATGGAATACTATTCATATAAGATGTTTTGACATCAGTACTGGGATACTAATCTATACTCATCTTGAATTGAGGGTTTGTCGGTGTCACAATAGGCTTTGAATTCGATATACCATAATTTTTGAGAATCTTCCATAGGTATGCCTCTTGAGATAAGCATAATTTCGACTGCTTTCTATCTCTACGGATGTCAATTCCAAGAATCCTGGACGCAACTCCTATATCCTTGATCGATAGTTGTGTAATTCATCTGAGCAGGGTTCAACACATGACTAGCATAGTAGATAACATGTAAAAGCTTTTCTCTTCATTGTCCTAATACTGCCCCCACTGCAATATCACTAGCATCATACATGATCTCAAAAGGAAGAGACCAATCGGGGGCAATCACAATTGGTGCCGACACTAATCTTTAATTTAATGTCTCAAACACATCGGCACACTCTTTATCAAAGACAAAAGCCTTGTCTTTAACCAAAAGAGTGGTTAAAGGTTTGGCTATTTTAGAGAAGTCTATTATGAACCTGCGGTAAAACCCCGCACGGCCTAAGAAACTCCTTATACCTTTTTCATTAGTTAGAGGAGGAAGTTTGGATATTAATTTGACTTTGGCTTGGTCCACTTCGATTCCCTTGTGGGAAATCTTGTGACCCAAGACTATTCCTTCTCGCACCATGAAGTGGCATTTTTCCCAGTTGAGAATCAAATTGGTCTGCTGGCATCTTTCTAAAACAAGAGAAAGGTTAGTCAAACAATTATCAAAAGAAGATTCAAAAACAGAAAAATCATCCATGAACACTTCCATGTGCTTTTCTAACATGTTCGCAAAAATGGATGCCATGCATCTCTCGATCTTCAGGAGCAACCACAATCTGATTATACCTAGAATATCCGTTAAGAAAACAATAGTAGTCGTGGCCAGCTAACCTTTCCAACATTTGGTCAATGAATGGCAAGGGAAAATGGTCTTTT